TTCTTGTCGATGGTGACGATGACTGTCATCGTTCGGCTCCAGTCATGTTTCTTCACTGAACTGTTCAGTCATACTTGAAAAAATACAAGTGTGCCTTAAGCGTTAATTGTGTTCCCCAATACATTAGATTTCCTCATTACACTGTCCAGCATGTGCATCACAGGTTCATCTCACCGCAAAATTTGTTTGGACTATCCGTTGTATGGCATGTTTGGAATTCCAGAGTGAATTAGGCAAAGTCTCCATGATTGGGCAACTTGTAAATGAGTGGATTGGAATTGGCGAGATCACAGTGGAATCGCAGTGGAACACCAAATGTCGCTCATCAACTTAATGATCCTAATAAGTGATATGACTCTTCTCACGAGCAATTCGCCGAGTGATTAGAGACTTACCGGTGCGCAGGCAGCTTTCTTGTCGTCCGGTTCAGTACCACGTTTAATCTAGCGGGGCTTTGTGTGGTTCGCGACTCCAAGTTTCGCGAGGCTTAAGTTACCGGTTCCTATCAATGTATAGCAGGTCCTCGTGAATATGAGGCTTACCTCGTCTGCCGTTCACCACACTAAGGCGTGTCATATATATATATATACATATATATATATATATATATAATCTTTGCATGTGGGCAAGGTAGTAGTGCCAGGTTGCCCAGGCCAGGTAAGGTGAATTTTCTTGAGGAATCCGAAACCGGAGCCTTCGGCTAGTCAAAGCTTGACCCACAAGGCAGCCGGGCGGTGTGTGAAAACCGCAGTCCATTGGGAGCCGGCGTCCAGTTCGTTGAATCATACGCCTTTCAGACGGGGTCCGATGTCTAAGGTGCTCAATACACCTCGATGCCCAATCGAGCCGGTGACCGTTTCCACAACCGGAAAGGTGTAGGTGTGGTTCGTACGCCTCCTCTTGGTTGGTTTGGAATCAGGGTTTTTGACCAACTCCCCTGGGTGAACTACCAACCCGGTTATAGCCCCGGATGACGGCTTTTCGTCCTCTCACTTTGATGAGAAAAAAGCTCCGCTACGAGAAGGCAATGATTAGGGCTTCGTCAGCGGATGCTATTTGAGACGCTTGGTCGTATGCGAGCATTTTGCGAGCTGCAAGGGAAGGGTGACCAGCCTCAACGTTAGACACCCACTTCGACCATACACAAAGTCAGCCAGTTGATCGATCGAACAGTTAGTTAGTGGCACGTGTTCATTCTGATCTGTTCTCTTTTGATTTTGCACTGTGAAAACGTTTCCGTCGGTCTCCGTCAGTTTTATTCTAGTCAAGTTTGCCCTGATCAGCATCCTTTCAGTCGGAAACGATGAGATTTTCCACATCTTTGACTTCAATGAACGAAAGTTCATTCGTCTATCTGTTTCGCTGTCTATCATTTTTTCTACGTTGAAATCTCTCGTTCCCTTCCCAATCCCATTTCAACTTCAGTGACACCACTGAAATTGGTCACTGCCTGTGTTTTGATTTTTCGTATTTAAATTTGTTCCATATGAGATAAATCCTGGCAGAACAGTTACCAATCAATGATGATTATTAAGACTTCAATCTGCCAAATAACGATTTGAACAATTAACCTTGTCCTAGAGGTTCATTCGGTTGGCTCCGGTGAATTCTAAGGATAACCTGTTGGGGCAGTCAGCCTACATGCTAACTGTTGGATGTCATATGCCTCTGTAAGTTGGATGGGTAATTTGAATATGAAAAGATCAGTGCTCTATCAGTGTGACCTCGTGGCTCAGCTCCTAGAGCGCTTTACAAAAGCGTAGGCGNCCATCCGTGGCTTCGAATCCCTCCTCCGAGAGTGTTGAACTTTTCACAATTTTAACGTAACACTTAAAGCTGGCAAATAACAATTCGGCTGATTATTTCGATCATATTCGTTCCACTGTTTTCGTTCATTCGTTCGTTCATCCCTAACCCCACGCCCGCATTTCAGGCTCATCTTCAAATCACCTATGTCGAACCGTATTTCGAAGAATTTGATTTGCGTAAAAGGAAAACCGAATTTCAACGCAATTACGCATTGAGTAAGTTGTTTTCTCTGTAGGAATCAATTCAAACACAAGCAATAGCAATCATATCTACTATTGTGTCGGCTACTGCTTCGACTATGATTTTTACTACTACTTTTGTTATCATTATGATGATTACTAAAAAACACCACTGGTTTTGTCAGATTTTTATGTCTGCTCTAGGATAACCCCAATCAAATTGACTCCTTTTTCTATCCGTAAGCGACAATGTTTCGACATGGTGGATGGGCGGTAAGCTGCCCATCGCTCGTCCCTAGTCGCTTCACTTTATTTAGACTATTAAACAAAAAAATGATACTATCTGGTCTGTGAAACCACTACAACTAGCACTTGACTATTATTGCTATGGAAACCTAAGTGGCTTTCAAGCCCTCACATTTCAATTCACCCATGAAACGAACTGTGCTCTTGATTGTCATTTCTAACGTATCTTTTCCATAACTAACCTTTTGATTCGGTTCCCTTCATGTATTAACCGGGGAACTTAATTCCCTATCAAACAGACAAGTAACAAAATGATGTTTTTTGTTACTACTATAGCCAATTGGACAAATGTTCTGTTACAGTTGAAGAAATCAGTTGAATAGCTTTCCCGCCAAGAGTGATGAAACTTTACGGTTGTGAAACAGTTGGGATAGAAAGTTGGTTTCTCTCCCCCCTCCCAGGTGATTATCATTGGTCTCTTTCTGATCTTTTGTACGTTCCATTTAGTCAGTACTTATACGCGTGTTTCTTTCATCTACAGACACAGACAGTAATTGGAAATAGAAATATATATATATATATATTTCTAAAGAGATTTTGTTTCGAGTGGAAGATCATTTCGATTTTCAGATTGATCTCTACACTCCGGGACTTGGAATGGCGAACCACATAAGGTCCCGATAGGTTAAGCTGGGTATTTAACCGAACTACAGCACAGCTGCCTACCACCAAAGTTGGGTAGCGTTGGCGGGACTCGGACCACAGGATCCGAGCATTTAAACCACTGCTCCACCACCACCCAGCAAAAAGGCTGAAGTCACTGTGCTGGAGTGAATCCAAATAGACAGTCGGTTTTGCACAATGGAACTACATGGCTCGTGCAAAGTGGGCTTTGATGAGCGGTTTCCTCTGTCTCTGTTCAAAGAACAAGAAAAAACAGCTCTCGCTCGAATAGACACAAACAGTAGTATGCTTCAATCTCGGAACCCACGGGTTTCATTACGGATGCAGTTGAAAACCCAAACCAACGAGACTACTGGCATAAAGTGAGTTAGGCTGATAACAAAGAATATCTAGATTTTTCGATAGGGCCTTGAAAATAAAGGCTTTCACATATCAACTCAGGTCAAGAAACGCTGATCACAATTATTCAAAGGAAGAATCTTATAACTTATTAACTATTCTTCATAAATACTCCGTATCTACAGAGTAGAACCGACGTATGCATTCGTTTTCATACATTCGTTTTGTTCTGTAATTATGTTATTTCATGACGTAACTGACAGTTTCAATTGCCCAGTGAAGACCAATGTCTGTGGTTTATTTTCGGCGAAATTGTATATTATGCCCGACGAGGACCGTGAGGCTGTGGCTGTCTCTTCCTTGCTCACGTTCATCATCAATTCACCCCACTTTGGTATCCAACGCGGGACTCAAACCGCGGACTTTCCAATCGCAAACCGAAACCTTGACCCATGAGCTACATAGATAGACCTTGTGGCTTCTCATGGGCAAAAACATGAATATCTATATGCGATAAAAATATTTGTGATAACCAGCAAAGAACACTGAACAGCTGTTTCCTCCTGTTTGAGACTCGGCAGCAGTGCGTACCTTTTGTGTCCTTGACAGGACTCAAACCGCGAACCTTCGGGCCTGGACTTCAAATCCTTACGCCTGAGCTACAAGGTCGACGGTCATCATCTTGTGCGAATGGCTCAATCAGTTTTGACGATGAATGTTTGGATTAGCCCATTCGATTGTTCAGAGGCACCAGGCACTCTTGATGGTTCTCGGTGTGGGTTTCACTCTTTGGGAGATCGATAATTCTCCTGGTGCCTCTGAACAATCAAATGGGCTAATCCAAGCTTGATACTTGAAAAAGGGATGTCTGTAGTTAAAAATGGATCGAAAAGCGAGGTGTTATAACTATCCACTATCCAGTTTATTATGCTTTTTGTTACTCTAATTTCCAACTTCTAGCCCCATCTCGCCATTGTTTATGATTTTTGAGGTGCTTTTTATCTTGTTCAGCCTAACTGATTGTATTTTGTTCTTCTTCAAAAACCAATCCATTACTTCTCCTTGTGGGTTGAAATTTATTCATCCAGAATTATATACTGTTGATTTTGCCTGTCTGTTATTATCTGGACCGCATCTCCACGCACAATTCTCAGTCCCTGTAATCAACCGTACACTTGGAAAGCCCCATTGACTCATGGTTCACTCTCTGGAGAACTAACCATACGTTCGAGACTCCCGTATGGAACGCGCATGTGTGAGTTTCCACTCTACACTGGGACTCAATAGATGTGTGGATTCCGTTTTCTTCGGATATCTTCCTCAATTCGATTACAACAGCAGTTGTCAGAAGACAGTGTCCAAGTCATAATGAAATTTTTATAATGGGTGATTTGGCACACCTCACGCTTATCATACCCTAAAGGATTTTTACAGGATGTTCTGGAGAACAGGTAGAAAAGAATGATAATATACATGATCACTCACGGATGTTGAACTGTTAAGTGTCCCAATGCTTTATTAAGCTGCGATGTGAATAATTCAACTGCAGGGGCACGCACAACATGGAATGGAAGAGAATTCCATACACCACACAGTCTCACTGCAAACGAGCTGTTCCGACAATCTAGGTTACTGTTCTGGGTCCTCAACCTGAGATGATTATTTCTAGATGAACTCAACACAAAACGGCAAGGGTGGTTGGGTGATACAGGTTATGGTGTGTCAAGATTAGCCCCCCTCCGAAGGCGACGGTACTGAGATGAGTAAAACCCAAATAGTTTCAGTCTTTCGGAGTGTCTTTTATCATTTTGGTTGCCAACCTTTGCAGGCGTTCTAGAGCCTTCTTGTCGCGGTTCAACCATGGTGTGTTCCATGTGTGGCCTAATCAACGCTCATTGCAAGCGTGGGAACAGTGCTATTTCGAACTGTCGGAAACCACGTTTAAGTAGTCAAAATTGCTTTAGAGCCATAGATGACGCTCCGGCACATTGCGGGGAGCATCCTACGTCCTCTTCTCAATTCCGTTTCATCGGTCGCCTGCGGTAGTATTTGGTTTCACAAGAACATGGGAGAAACAAGTCTTGTGCCGTATGGAAATAACTTTGCTAACTCCAATTGAGATTAGCCACCAATTCAGGTATTTTGTGCAGATGTTGGTTACACCTGCCTGATTAAATGTGGTACGTCATATCTAATTCATACGTAACCCTTGTCAGGGGATAAATTCCACTGATTTTGACTGATCATCCTTCAGATTTCACTTATCTGGACTATTTCCACCTCACCCCTCTGCCCCTCCGCCATCTACTTTTTCTCTATCTCTNCCCTCATCTCATCTCATCTAATCCGGTCGGTCACATACCAGAACGCTTTGTTTATTGCATTCCATTCACCGCATCCGGAGCGGCTCATGGAACCATTGGTGAACAATTTCAACGTCGGCATATCCTCACCGCGGCACGCTATTTCCCCTATGTAAAATCACGTCTAGTCGTGATAGACACAAAACAGGAAATTCTCTGCCCGATCGAAGTCGCATTGGAAGATGTACACGGTCGAGTGAAACAGTTGGATCAAGCGTTAAACAAAGACCCGGTCGACGTGAAATTTCTGCAAATGGTTCTACAGGTGAGTAATTCTTGTTCCTCGCCGTGGCGGTGGCACGAGTGGCGATGGCGATGGAGTACTGGTATGTCGCGGATGAAATCAATGTGATTTTAAT